TAAATTTAATACACTTCATCTTCAGCATGTTTAGTGCCACTTTTGTAAGTAACCACGCCCCCGTCCAGGCCACGCCCCCGTCCAGGCCACGCCCCTTCCGCTTTTTTCATCACTCGCCATTGCCATGTATGCATTTGATTTCACAGGAATGTGAAAGTCAAACACCACAGAAAACACACCTGAAGTTGAAATCACATCAATACAAGCTTCTTAATAGTACTGCCTTATCCAGTGTTGTCTTTCTTGGACTTTTTTTTCCACACATAGTCATTATGTGGTGAAAAAAGTATACATAAAAAATGGCTTGTGGTTGAAATAGTGCATCCACTGGCTCAAACATTCGGCACATCCACAGTATTTCAGGACATTGCACAAGGTGTGTCAGAAAAGTTTCAGTCCTGGTGTCACAAAAAATATATTTGCAATCCAACTTACAAGTTTTCCCTTTGAAAGTAATCACCCTATAATTTCGCGCACTTTGCCATCTTTTCCTGCCACAATTAAATGCACCCATTCCTCCGGAAAACACCTCAGCTACATCATCACGGCCATCTTGATGTCACTCACATCTTCATAGCGGGTCTCCTTGATGACCCTGTTGGGCTTGGGAAAGAGGGGAAAACAAAATCACAGAGTCAGATGGGGCCAGTCGGGAAGTTGCTCCAGTACGGCAGTGTGCTTCTTGGCAAGGAACTGCTGGATGCTCAAGGGCATCATAAGCAGTTATCGTGGTGAAGCAGCCACACACTCTTGGCTCTTCTCCTGTACTGAACAGAGCAGACACTGCAAGATTTTTTGGGGGATGTGCTGGCTGATCGTCTGTCCCACATCGAAGGGGAAAACTCGTAGTTTGTGTTCGACATACTCTATATCTTTTTTTTACATCAATCCTGAAACTTGTCTTACATACCTCATACATAATGTCAGTAATAAAAACATCCTGGTTTTTCAGTGATAGTGAATATTTCTGGCGGGTTTTTTTGGGGGGGGGCACTGTTAAAAAAAAAGTATAGATTTTTTTTGCCATGTCGTTAAAGTATAATTCAACAAAAGTTAAGTTAAATTAGGTACAGTATTTATCTAACTATATACAGAAATGCATCTGAATAAGGCACTACCGTTCAAATTCAATTTAAACAATAACTGAACAAAAATACTGAAATGCTTTGGTGCTAAATGTTGAATTTGTTGTTTTTGTTTTGTTTTGCTTTGTTTTGTTTTGTTTTTGGACGTTCTCATAATATCCATCCATCTTATCCGAACCACTTATCTTGACAAGGGTCGCGGGGCATGCTGGAGCCTCTCCCTCGGGCACTTGGCGGGGGACAGCCTGAACTGGCCAACCGCAGGGCACACTTTGGGAAACAGCCATTCACACTCACATTCACTCCTACTGACAAGTTCGAGTGCACAATTCACCTTTCATGCATGTTTTTGGAATGTGGGAGGAACTGGAATACCCGGAGAAATGCAACACTAAGATTCACAACGGTCTGATCTCTCCATAGCCGAGCCAACATCGGGAATGTCCGTTTACCTGTCCTCACTGTGATGAGACCTACGACCTGAAGCAGGAATTCCATAAGCACCTGGTCGTGCACACAGGAGAGAAGTCTTATGTCTGCGAGCACTGCGGAAAAGCATACGGACGTCGCTCGTCGCTGCGAAACCACCGCCTCCTTCACTGCAGCAGATTGATTTACCCACAGCTTCCCAAGGTACGCGTTCAATTTTACGCACTCATTACTATTTTTCCCCCCAATGAAATAATGTTGAACTCTGCGTACTTGTCAGTCAAATGTAGACATCTTCCATTTACCATTTCAAAAGTGACTGTCATGCAGTCTGACTGCTGTGCACCTTCAACGCAAAAGCTTATATGAAGAGGAAAACATATATTTTTGATTCGGGATTTCTCTCTCAGTTACAGTGCACCCTCTGTCCAAAGCTGCTGGCAAACTCTGGTTCTCTGAGGAATCACATGAAACTTCACACAGGAGAGAAATCTCATGTGTGTCAGTACTGTGGAAAAAGTTTCAATCAAAAAGGTAATACTTAAAGCCGGTAATTACTCAAGGACATGTGGATAAAAATAATGTGTACGGTAATAAAATTAATGCCAAACTAAATGATATGATAAGAACCATCGCATTGTTGATACCATGGTGAAGTGCTGTTGAAGGTAGTCGAGGATAGCTTGCCTTAGGAGGCCCTAAATTCATTCATTCATACATTGTCCGAACCGCTTTATCCTCACTAGGGTCGCAGGGAGTGCTGGAGCCTATCTCAGCCATCTCCGGGCAGTAGGCGGGGGACACCCTGAATCGGTTGCCAGCCAATCGCAGGCCCTAAATTTATTCTCTATAATTTTATAAATGCCCTCTTTCACTTTTGCATTTTCCTATCAAATTATGATCTCGAACAATTTCAAGAAGTGAGGAGCTACCTGCATCAAATTGTCACGGTATTGTGTGTTGAGAGGAAAGCTATCTATTATCAAGCCGATGTCACTGTTGTGTAAATACAATGGAATACTTTAAATGAAATGAACTAAAAATGTTAACATTTGTGTATATTCAGCCTCATCAACAAATGTCGTCTGTTACCCATTGTCTGTCTGTGTCTCTCTCAGGGAACCTATCAAGCCATTTGAGGATTCACAATGGGGAGAGGCCATATCCTTGCCCCGATTGTGACCAAAGATTCGCTCAGAAACCTGAACTTAGTCGCCACAGGCTTTCCCACACCGGAGGCATGTTCCTCTGTAGTTACTGTGGGAAATCATTAAGGGACCCACATACCCTCAAGTCGCATGAAAGATTGCATACTGGTGACAGGCCCCATCGTTGCCCTATCTGTAAAAAAGGTGAGCACATAAAGTAGAAGACAGCACAAAAAATAGAGTGAGCTTGATCAATGTTAAGACGTTCAGGGACAATGAAGCCCATGCCAGCCAATTCCCCTCCAACCAACCTTGTTTATCTCACTAAGTCAGCCGCAGAAGTTTGTTGCCACACATCTGATTTGCCAATCAAAATATTTTTACCCCACATTGCCAGATCCATGTTTCCGTAAATTAGCATGTTGGCTGCATAAACATTTATGTTGTCAGCAAAACAAAACAAAACAAAAAAAAACAAATGTATTTTTCACTTGAGAAGGCTTTATTGATATTTTAGACCTTGCATTTACTTGCAAGGCCTCACAAAAATATGTGTGATGACCTTGTAATTATCTAAACATTGACAATAAAATTAAAAGGCATCAATATTATAAAACATCTAGAATGCATACGAACTTGAGAAATGTGACTGCCACGATTAGAACGTGACAGCCCAGAAAGTAACTTCCTCGCATAAGTGCATGACCAAAAGCCGGTGCATGGAGCGCACCTTTGAGCCTCCGGGACTCAGCGGCCATTTCCGTTATGGGTATCATGATAGACTGAGAGAAACCTCAACCAACCTTGAATGTGGAGAAAGAAGAGGCCGTTGCACTCTGCGCTGCCGTGGCCACCCGGAACAAATTACAAATGTAGCCTTGGATTAGGTTTCTGGTGAGGTCCCCATATCTAGTTTGCATTTTGAGCTGGGAAATTTGGGGAAACTCTGCTCCAATCCCACATATATAGAGCTTTTGCTGTTGAAAAACGAAGGAAAGAGACACATTTACAGAAACATAAGCAAGATTTCTTATTTTTTGTGCAATAATCCAGAATATTGCAATCATGACTACAGTATGAGCACCAATGCTTTTTGCTACAATAGCTCCTAAATTGTTAAAACTAAAAGTTAATTTAAGTTGCCGTAAAGAGATAGCATTCTTGTCAATATTATTAAAAGTATTGTCTAATTTAAAAAAAAAAAACAACTTTTCTTCCTGCCTTGTTTTGAATGCTTGGAAACTGGCCTGCCTGCAGTCCAGACCTGTCTCCCATTGAAAATGTGTTCCACATTATGAAGCGTAAAATATGACTACAAAGACACTGGACTGTTGAACAGCTGAAGCTCTACATCATGGAAGAATGGGAAATAATTCCACCTACAACGCTTTAGCAATAGTGTCCTCACTTCACAAACGTTTATTGAATGTAGATAAAAGAAAAGCTGACGTTACATAGTAGTAAACATGATGATTATCCCAGCTTTTTTTTTACACCTTGGCGCCATACAATTCTAGGTAATAATTATTTGCTAAAAACAATGAAGTTCATCAGTTTGACCATTAAATATCTCATCTTTGTGGTGTATCAAATTAACCCTTTGAGGGACAGCGGTTACAACAGTGGACAGCTTCTCATGTTGTCAAGTTACAGGGTGCATGAAAAGGTTAAATATAGGTTGAACATGATTTGCAAATCATTGTATTCTGTTCTCATGTATGTAACGTCCCAACTTAATTGGAGTTGGGTTTGTGTTTACCCGCTAACTTTTTCTTTTGCTTTTTGTTTTGGGGTCGGGCTAGGCTACACTATGGCCACCAAGCTGAGAAGACACATCAAATCTTCTCATGTGACAGAAAAGCCCCACAGCTGCCACTGCGGGGCTTCCTACACTCTGAGACAAAGTCTGCTGAGGCACCAAGCGCAGCACCATTCACGGGAGGAAACACAGGAAGGGATCAAGGAAGGATTGAGACAGAAGGCTAAACCTGCCATGCAAGAGTTGGCAGCAGCAAGCTCTCAACACACAAAGCCAGTCAAAGGAAGACCTAAGAAAGGGGATGACAGAGTACAGAGAAGAGGACGAAGAAAGGGAGAAGAAAGTGTGACAGGCAAAACTTTAAGTAGATCAGAGACCACAGCTGCTACCAGGGCAGATGGAAAAGCTTCAAGTGACACCCAGCACACAGTTGTACTTGTTCACACCGACGATACATTTATACCAAGCTATGGCCCTCTGCTGCTCACCTCAGATGACTTGCACTCAAGAACAGGAGAGGAGCTGGTGGAGGTGGTCATATCAGGAGGTGCAGAGCAGTGCATTGTGGTCCAGGGGCAGCAGGCGGCAGGAGATTTGATGATCATACAAGAGGAGGAGGTCTGCTCTGTGGCCCAGACAGTTGAGATAAACACAGTGTTGCTTTAAATCAATTTTATTGTCTGTTGAACAACCTTCACTGGACAGAAACTACCTTTTGATGTCATAAATTACTGTGTTTGACACCAACTGAGAATGCAATAGTTTTCCTGTCTCCAAACAATACAATATTTGGCCAATTCTGAATATGTGTCACAAGTCCTTTTCTATGGCATATTATTTTATGGTCTGTCTCTGTAGCATACATGTCATTTGTCATGTCACATGGTAGGTGAAAGGAGGATCTGAAAATGGCTGTCAGTGAATGAGTTAGGTAAACTTTAAACTACCGTAAATAAATAAAATTCATGATTCACCTTTAAGTTCTGACTCTGAAATTGTACAAAAAGAATTTGAACTGTCAAACTACTTATTCTAATTCTATGCCCAAGTTTCCCTCTTTTATTAACGCAATTAGTTGATAGCATTAGCTGTGCAGTGCTGTCATACTGGATCCAGTGTTATGAATTCCAATTTAGTTTCTCACTGTTATGATTTGGCTCTCATTCTCTGAGTTACCACCTCCGCTTTACACACACACACACACACACACACACACACACACACACACACACACACACACACACACACACACAATGGTACCTCTACTTACGAATGTCTCAACATACAAAATGTTCGAGTTGCGAAAGGTGAAAATACAGTATGGGCTGCTACTCGCAGCTCCGAGTTTCCTGAATGCAACATGCTTTTCGCTGCTCTGCTATTGGCTATTACCGAGCAACTTCCTAGCATCCCATTGGCTAAGAGGGACCTCTACATATGTGTCTATTTGTGAGGACAGATATTGTGTCTATGCAGCGTCCTCGTCATTCGCCCCTCGGGTCATGAGGAGTGACGATAGCTTCGTGTAAATGTATTAACTTTTTACAGTTTTCACAATTGACTCCAAGAATGTGATGGAGAAAAGAGGAAAAGATAAAAAGAAAATAGTTTTTTTGTCCATACAAACAAAGCAAGAGATAATAGAAACGTATGAAAAAGTGATGTGTTTGGTTGATCTCGCCAAAGAATATGGCCGTAATGTATCAACAATCGCCACATTATCAAAACAAAAGGAAGCCATAAAAGCTATAACTCCTTCTAAAGGCCTCGCAATAATTTCGAAGAGGAGGTCACCAGTGAACGATGAGACGGAGAGGTTGTTACTCGTGTGGATAAAGGAGAAAGAGATGGCTAGTGACACAGTGACCGAGGCCATAATTTGCGAAAAGGCAACAGTCGTTTTTAATGACCTCGTGAAGGACGATGCAGGTGAAGGAACGTTGGCGAAAGAACACCGACAGTTTAAGGCATCATGTGGGTGGTTCGAGAAGTTCAAAAGAAGGGCTGGAATTCACTCTGTTGTTCGGCATGGTGAAGCAAGTAACGCTGACCACAAAGCGGCTG